CCATCGCCAGCTGATGCTGCCAAGGGTATTTTGGAGATGGCAGTCTGTACATGTTGCACAAGGTCCAGTGCAACATTGTAGGCACTATCTAAAGGGTTTACTTGCGAGAAACGAAAGAAGCACTCATCACTATTGAATGACTGATTAGCGAGGAAGACTATAATTAATATATAATTTATTGACAGTGGTCACTTTATGTCACAGTATAGTGGCATTTCATGCCCAGATGGCGAATGATGTGAAATGTTCACAATATCGGATTATATAAATAATTCTCCTCCACTTTGTGTATTTCCCCATTGACTCAGAAGTCCATGAGTTCATGTTCCTTCGCAACAGTATATTCAAATGACGATCGCATTCTTCAGTATAACTTTTCACGGCGCGCTGCACCGCCTCCTTGTTCTGAATTTCCGACCAGCAATTTTCAACCTCCCTTGGCAACTAAGAGCTGCTGACAGTACAGTTCTTTGTGAAATCTGGTCTTGGCGACGTCATTCTTTATCTGATGTAATAAGGCCATCTAACAGTTTTTGCTGCAGCGTATAACGAATCCTAACTCATGAAACTTCGACGTTGAGCGAAAGGAGGACACATCGGACGAGACGTGCGTGGCTCTGTGAGTACTGAGATACTGTAGCGGCTTCCATGCTTAAATCGGCTTCATAATCGACAGGGATCAAATACTAGTGAATGAAAGCATAAAATTGGATCCTAGATATTTCGTTCGATATTTGAAAATTTGTTGTTTTAAACTATTCCTATTTGAATTATTGCACATGAGTGGATCATGAATTTTGGAAAAAACGGCGTTTTATCCATGATATGTTAATGAGGTTAATTAATGTATCTGCTTGAATGGTGGTGTTCCAATTGTTCATGACTATTTCGTTTCGAAAGCGTCATCATTTCCTTAATTGATTTGTTCCAATGGTTGTTAAACTGAAGAACCATGTCGACGCATAACGTGATTTTATTTTCATGTAACTGTTTTCAAATACCCGTAAAATATTTACAGGCCGTCGTCGTTGAAGCAGATTTAACTGCTAACAGTCAACCTGTGCATTTCTAGCTTCTAAGAAACACTGTTTTGCACATCACAGTCACAACCATAAAAAATATTCACAAAGGCTCTTCATCAAAGTTCACAGAAAGTTTGACTACCTTGCCGGAGATCACCAACTTCCTCATTTTGCTAACATGCGGTTCCGTACACAAGCAGCTGCCGATAAAACATCCATCGATGTATGCCTAAGACAAAATCGAGCTGTATTTTGGCCTGAACAGAGTCATACTTCACTTAAAAAACGAAGTGCACTTGATAGAATATAAATTGAGGAATATTATCTGCTTAAGTGAACAAATATGGCGGTGGCTGACATGAGATACTTCAGGCTGTTACTCATTTCAATCTTCCCTCATCTGAGAACATGTTGCGAAGAAATCGATAGTTGTTGAACCAAACGGGTAATGAAAATAAATACTAATCAACTAAATCTACAATGGTTATTGTACACGCAATACAAAATATTACGATGAATGTTGTCTTTTTTCCTATTAGCTTTTTTTGCAAGTCCATGGTGAAATTATTCCATGCACTCTCCGATCAACTGCTTTTCAACCCTCACAGATTCCTCTCGTCGATGTACAGTAAACAATGACTATAATGGGGCAGCGGAACAAGTACTTTTGGAGTCAAAGGTTTTGCGGGTAAGCACCCCTCAGGTAGAATATTTCAAGGCATTAGCCATGGATATACATCTGGACTTTCGACCCATGTACGTAGCTCATTTAGCTAACGTCTCTAGGATCTGTGACAAGATTAAGTGAGAAACAGGCACATGATATGACCGAGAAACGAAAGATGATTTATTATCATTGGAGGAGTATCTTATTTGTGGTGCTTCAAATGGATGAATTTTTGCCGGTACCTAACCAAATTCTTCTACCTCGATTTGGATTAATGAACTTCGAACTTCAGCAAACTTCACTATGCTCTGCAAGGCTTCAAAGATCATAGAAAATGTCTTCGTCCATACCACAGCTTCTCGACGAAGTATTCCGTACACCCGTCGCTACGGCTCTTTGCTTCGTCCACTGCTTTAAGATTGAAAATTTTAAAGATCGACTTGGTGAACAATTTCAATCTATCTATCAGCTTACTGTGTTCTATAGTGTCATTAACTAATCTGCCATTCCGTAGAGATACGGTCCTGCATCCATGCACCACGGAGCTGTGACCTGCTTAAGTGGTCCCGAAGCGACTGGAAGCAAGGGGACGGTGCTTACACCCTTCAAAACTGCATGAAAGCTGAAAAGGAGTAACTAGTTGGCTAGT